GTGATCTTCGCATAATAATTACTCCCTGGCCCCGACTCTCTGGCCTTTTTTTTTTTGGGCATATAATTCTTAATGGCCATGGCACATTTCTCTGCCATTTCGTGCATTTAATGATTTTTTATTATTTTTGCTTCTTCTTTATATTTTTGGGTAATTTGATTTGACTGTTCTTCATTCGTTATTGTTCACTTTTGTTTTTTTTTTTGACTGTTTTTCGTTAGCCTCCTGACTTTAATAGGTTTTTAATTATTTTTCATATATTTTTTTTAAGAGATTTTTTGTAGTTGTTTGTGTTATTAATAACGAAACCAGACAGCTGCGGGAAATGATATGGCAAAAGAGTTGAGTGGAACCTTTGTTCGGATAGCAACACGAAAATCTGCCAAAAAAAATTAAAATTTGTCTGAGATCTGGGAAATTAAGCAAGTCAACTAAAAAAACCATGAATCAGTCAACGAAATTAAATTATTTTTACATTAAAAGAGACTACAAAAATCTATATTTAAATGGTATAATTTTTAAGAAAGCATTAAATTACTGGTGTTATTTAAAAAAATAGTTATTTTTAGATCAATACGAAATGATGGTAACCTTAATCGAATTGAATTGATACAGATTGCCAAACTGGGTTTCTCTTTTTTTTCTATTTTTTTTATTGACATTTTTCAGCAAATGGTTTTTTGATTGCTTGTCGTTACAAATGAACTACATTCCGGAAAACAAACGACTTTTTTATGATACTAGTGTCCATTTTTAATACTTTATAAATATTTTATGATATGGATATGACTATTTTTAATTAATATGAATCAATAAACGATATATGTAAAATTTGAACTAATTAATCATAAAGAATAACCAATTTTCTGGTTGAAAAACACACATAAATTTTTCAAATAGTTTTAGCATGTTTTTGTGTCATGTAGAGTAGATTTTGCTTAGCCCACAAATTAGTTGAAAGTCATTTTGGTTGAATGGGGAAGCTTATAAATTACGTTAGATCGGAAATTGAACGAAATTTTAGGAATTGAGCAAATTTTAAAGACGTCAGCATTTTTTTGGTAATAAATTGCATTTTGCTCAACACTCTTATACCCATTCCCATTTCCCCATTTTGCCGCCACTATTTCGAAAATAGATTTATTTATGAATGTATCTAGATCGATGGACAGCTAGAAGACACAGGAACCTGAATCATTTTTCCACCTGCGTCTTGTTGTTTACCTGGTGGGCTAGTTTTCGCCCTCCGCCCCCGTCTACCACCTGATTGGTGTCCCATTAGGGCAACAAATTAGCTCTTGGCCAGTTCTGATGGCCATTCCAGGGTTCCGGCTTGGTTATTTACGAGCATAAGATGCAATCCCCGGGCAGATCGAACAGCATTTGTGCATTTTGTTTTGCCATAAATCATAAGGCCAGTGCATGCCCTACTTCTATTCTATCTTTTAAGGAAATGTACACTGAAAAAAATTGATTAAAGAGCTAGAAAATAAGAGTTTTTGAGGAAGTTATACTAAAAACACGAGATTAGAAGTCTTAATTTAAGTTTTGAAGATGTTTATAGTACTTCTGTATAAAAATTTCATTAAATATTTATCTAAGCCTCCTTTTTTTGTTCAGTGTACTACGCAGTAAGCTGCCTTACTTTCTGCTGGCTCTGCTGGCGGCAAAGGCTTTTGCCTAATTGATTTACAACACTTTCCAACCTTACTCAATGCTCGAGTGACAAATGCAGGGTTCTGGTTCTGGCTCTGGCTTTGGCTTCTCTTATTATTATAACTATTATCTTTATCTCTAGACAGTGGGGGGATATATACATATATATATAAACATATACTATATATATTCTTAGAGGCAATGCGCACAATGGAGCGTAGGAAAATGGGGTTTGGGGCGGATGGTTGGGGTTGTTCGGGGACTTGCTCAATGCTCGATTGCGCGACAATCGCAATGGGACCATAATATATATATATATTCTCAACGTATATATATATGTATGTTTCGCAGCTTATCATTCGGTATATATATGCATTATGGAGTGTGTATGTGTGCCGACTCCCTGGGGTCGCATTGGAGCGTGAGCATTTTGCAAAAATAATTTATGGCAAACTGTTGATTGCTGACATGGGGCCCCCACAGCAGCAGCAACAACACCAACAATAAGACCAACACCAGCTACAAAAACAACAAAGACCAACAGCAACAAGACAATAACAGAATTATTAACAGATGTAGTAAAGCAGGAAGATAAGAGTTGGTTGCAAAAAAACAAAAAAAAAAACAAAAATATTAACAGCAGAAATAGAAGGAGAAAAACATCAGCAACACTATCAGGAACAACAGCAACATTAAGCGAAAACAACAGGAGCAGTAATAGAAGCAGCTACACCAGCAACACCAGCAGCTATTATAGCCAACATCGACAGCAACTACCATACAGCCTATAGGTTGTTTGGCCTGAAAGGCCCAAAGCCAATATACTCGGGCCAGGAAAGAGAAAATGGCAGCAACATTAACAAAGAAAAAAACAGCACGAACCGAGGCAACAAAGGCAACACCAGCAGTATTTGTAAATAACAGTATTGCCAGTGCAACAACAGCAACAATTGTTGTAAAAACAACAAAAACCACAAAGAAAACAACAAAATTTAAGGCCCAAGTTGTTTTCTAAGTTTGGTATTAGTAAGGGTACTGAGAAAAATGATATTGTATCTAGGGGTTATTAGAAAAAGTATCTATAAAAATATATCTTAAAATTATAGATTTGTTTAGGAACATTTCTTATCATTAAGGGTTCTGATTTTGGATATTATGAATATTTTTTAAATCAGAGAAAATAATATTGTATCTGGGAGCTACAAATATGAAGAATTGTCTTTAAATTAGAGATGGTTTCTTTTTAAGAACATTTCTTGTCAGTAGGGACTCTATTTAATTTAATATAGAGTAATATAGAGTATTAAATATTATAATATAATATAATTTAACTTTTAATATTTTATATAAATATTATTATCATATCATATCACACCCTATCTTATCCTGCCATATCATATCCTATCACGTCGTAGTTTATCCTAGGATCATATCATATCTTATCACATCATATTATATCTTATCATATCCTTTATATCATTTCATATCACAATATTATGCTTTTCTCTATAACATACTGTAACATATACTCCCCAAACATTTAATCTTATTTTCCAGTGCATCTGTCAGATCCATTTAGAGTTTAGTTCGCGACTAGAATTTATCATTAGTTTACTTGGTGTAGTCGTGTCCATATTATGTACATATGTATGATTATATATACTATATAGATTAACAATTGTAATCGGCATTGTTGTTTTTGTTGTTTTTTCTGTTGATTTTGCCAAGCGAATCGAAACGAAACCCAACGAACAAAACAAAAAAGCTTGGCGGCAACAACGACAACCGTCAACATGGGTGTTGATGTGTTTTCAAAAACATTGCGTCATTTCCAGATGGCAAGCACCATGCCAATTTTTTTCCATTTTCTTTATTTTTTATTTTTTTTGCTAAAACCCCTTTTCAGAGCCCCCCATGGCAGTTGGACGCCACTGACAAGTAAAAAGCAGAGACCCACTGGCAGACGATCGAATGGCAGCGTACGTTGATTTCGTAGAAAAACTGGGCGAATTCTACGAACTGAACTTGGGGGATGTCGACGTCTATATCTCAAAACAAATATCGGGTCTGTATATCTCGCTTTAAGTATATATGTTCTGTGTACACGAACATGATTGATATTTGCTTGCCATGATTACTCGCAGTTGCAGATAAAATTGTAGACAAGATACGAACTCTCTTTGTGGAACACGAAATGTACTTACAATTTTTTATTTGATATTAGTAGAGTTTCTTGTTTCTTTAAAAGAAATAGCAAGAGCTGTTGAAATATCTATGCCACATCCGCATATAGAACCTTTGGAATGAGCTATAATTGGATGAGGCTTAATCTGCACTTTCAGACAGTTGGGCGACTTCTTAAAGCTGCAGGGGAATGCTTTCTTCTACCACCAGATTACTTCACCAGATGATACCCAATGACCTTAAATAACCTATTTCCAAACGCTGTCACATTCAGTTATTTATTTACGTACTGGACTAAAGTCAAATACAAATATTTGTGCTGGGCTTAGGCTTTTCTTTGATCAGCTAAAAGCCGTGGGTGGTTTTGCTTTTCTTTTCGAGACTGAAAACCTACGTCAATGCCGGGATCAATGGGATTAGGCACCACTATTGTAGTGCTCCATTTATCAATTTTAACACTTTATCATCTGTTTTTCAAACAAACAAGCTGTTTGGGCTGTAATTTATCACAAAAGTTATACTGTTTACTTGGCAAATACATTTAATGTACAATTATTTTATTTTATTGATTTTATTGAGTTGGGATTACCACACACCTATTTCTGTAACCGATTTTAGCAGAATTTTAAATGTTGTTAATAGCGAATGCATATTTGTTTTGAATTGATTATTCAATTTGCGTCAGAGCTGCTCAAGTCACTAAAATATATATAAATAAATATTTTGAATCAAAGATCGAAAGCCGTAACTATAGGCCTAGAATCCCAAGGGTTTATGGCCCGAAAAAGTAAAATTTTCTTAGGCCGTGCCATAAAAGATAAATGAATTATTATCGCTTTTCCTGAATGTATATAGTATTTTTTGAATTGTTTATTTAGCAATTAATGATTGCCTAGTTCTTTGATACAGTTGAGAGCGTTTGTGATTTATGGACAAGACCCTCGACTCGAATACATCCATCCAGTATGAATATGAATAATCACATTGAAGGCGAAACAACGAGCCTCATTGTTCTGGGCCCCCAGTTGGAATAATTGGGCAATACCGTGAGCCACACAATCGGGCTTACTCAATAAGGATTTCAGTCACAATAAGGCGTAATAAGTGATATTATTACGATTCTAAATATCCATTCATAATAAAAAAACAACCACACTGAATCATTTTCAAAATGAAATTCAACATTTCTGCATTTTTATTTGGAGCAATCAGCACAGCTCGATCAAATTTAGTTATGCATAACAAAAATTAAGATTTGCACATTTCATGTTTCATTATTCTCTCACTATGTTTAACATTTTGTTTTTTTTAGACTATTTACATGGTAAGGATTATGCATACATATGCGATAAAAATTTTAATTAAATTTACATGTTATTACGGCTTCATTTATTTGTTTTTTTTTTTTTGTAGGGTTTTTATGCATAAGATAACAAGGCTTAATTGACTAAAAAAATAAAGGCACCTGAGTTCAAAGTGTTATTGCCAAAAATTACTAATAAAACGAAAAATCAAAAATATATAATATAGTATATATAACGTTGGTGAAATCAAAAAAACAATAATCATTATTTCAAAAAATAAAAAATAAAAATTAGATTACATACGTATATGTATAAATGGGTAACGTAAAGCATTTATAATTAATTCAATTTAATTAATGGTATGTTTGTTTCAACTCCTTTTTGCACTCCTTTCTTTTTTTTTGATTTGTTGACTGACTTCTTGGATCCTTTCTCACTGATATCGTTTCATATATATATATATTATTATTTGTTTTACATACATTTGTATAAAGATATAAAGTACTTATATGGTCTTTGTCCCTGAATGAAATGCTTCCCTCCCCCCACTTAGAAGGCTTAGAATTGTTGGCTCTGGTTTCGCGACCCATTGTTGCTTTGCTGACTAGTGCGTTCTTGGTGTCTCTCACTTATAACTCTGTAGTTTTGGCTTAGGAGTTCCTCCTAACCTGGCTAATATTTCCCTAAAAATTGTTTAGTTAGTTATACTATTGCATCTTGTAGAGCTGCGGTGGCTCCTTGGTGGCCGGTATACCATGATCGTACTTTCCCAGCTCGGCCTCGTACAGCAGATTGTTGATCAAGTGCTTCACCACTATCTTCGACTTGGATGTCTTCAGCTTACGAATGGTGATGGCCACATACTCCCCGAATACGCCGTACTCGTCCACATGATTGGCACTCAGGCCGCCGCCCCCGTTGAGTGGTTTGGGAGGCGTGGTGCAAGCACTGGACATTGGCGTTGCATCCAGGGATGTGGGGCTGGTGGTGTTGCTGGTGTTGTTATTGCTAGTATTATTGTTGTTGTTGTTGGTATTATTGGTAGTGCCTGACGTTGCCGACGTTGAGAGATCACGATCACGATCACGTTTTTGTGCCATGTTACTGGAATGTTGTTGTTGTTGCTGTTGCTGCTGCAGTTGCAACGACTGCTGAAGCTGATGCTGATGCTGGTGGTTGTGGTTATGAGTGTGGCTGTTGTGGTGATTCTGCCCCTGCCCGTTGCAATGGCTAATGCTCAGGCTGTGGCTGTGGCTGTGGTTAAAGTGCTGTTGCAGCGCCTGAAATGCGAGCTGGCTGTGGTTCATCTGCTGCCCGGTGGATCCGCCCACCGACGGCACGCCTCCTCCCGCCTTGATCGGCGTCAATGTCAGGGCGCCCACAACATGTTCCACACCCCCCATGCCACCTCCGACACTACCCCCACCGCTGCCGCACTCGTCCATCGGCAGCGCCTTACGTTTGCGGTGGTTGTAGGTCAGATCCGTCGGCTTGTAGTAATTTATGGGCGACGGCGTGCACGTTCGCCGCTCCAGCATCCCCAGATCCGATTCGTGTTCGATCTGATGGGTTGAAATAATATAAAAAAAAAAGAAAAGAAAAACGAAGAAAATATAAAATGGGCTAAAGATACAATAAATTAAGCAAGTATGTGGTTTGAAAGCCAAAAAACCATATATCCGGCTTGCAAAAAAACAACTGACTGACTGCCCGCCCTTAATTATTTTTCTCACTTGAAATTTTTCAACATTTTGAAGAAGGATGAGGTCTTCCGTTGCCCTTCGGGTAAGATCTGCTAAACATTTCATCAGCTCGGATTGTTTATTTTCCGCAAAGATGGGCCCGTCAGTAAAAAAAAACCGGAACCTGTTTTGATTTTAAATTTATAATCGCGATGATACATTTATAGTACAAACGACTGACGAAATCATCGACCTGTTATTTCATCAACTATTTACCAGATGCCCATCGTCTATATATTATTGTCTATATTAGTAGACAAACAATCGAGTCTAAGGTGTCTAGACCCTAGAGTCTAGAGCTGGAAAGTGTCGCGATAAGACCCCCATTGCATTGCGGGCATAGCCCCCCAGTCTGAAGCAAAATTGTCTTAAAATATAAATTAATTTTCTAATTCCAAATTCGAAATGATTCACTGACTTTGACTGCTTATCGGGGGGAAGATATACGGATGTATTATATCTCCCATGGCAACAGCACTGACCTTCAGTAATTATAAACTTTCAATGGTCAATGTTCAGGTTTATGACGTCTACGAATGATTAGATTCGTCATCGAATCGAGTTAGTTACAAAAAAAATATGCAGTTTTGCTTATCAATTAAGTGGAATTATCAACCGGAAATCTTATCTCATAGAGGGGGTTTAGAGTTTGTAACTAGAAACTGGTAACTGCATTTTTTGCAAAGATTTGGTTTTTTTTTTTTAAGTTTTTTATAATTAAGCCCATGTCAGTTAATCCACAAAAAATACCCACAAATTATTATTACTAAAAAAAACTGTTAAATTATCTTTAGAAAAAAAAACCTCTTCAACCTGTCAAATTAATTAAAAAGCGATAACAATCAACGGCGGGTACTTACAATTTCGGTTTTCACATCTTCGGCGCTGATATTGCAGTAATTTTCGCCATCCAAATCGGAAGAGGAACGTGTCTGCGAAATATCGAACAAAAAAAATATATATATAAAATTAGCAAAGACCGCAGAATACAAAAAAAAAAAAACAAACAATTATGCTAGTGTTGAGAATTTGCCAGACAAATAATAAAATAAAAAAAAATACAAATAATAATAATAGTGGACAGACGCAAAAAAAAAGCGAGAAACGCGAGAAGAAATAGAAAACAAATTAGAATAATAATAAAAAAAAAATAAAAATACTCAAGCCGAGTCGGGCTGCTGGCGATTAAATTAGTCACGGTGGGGCAAGGTGAGGCGGGGAGTGGCAGCCAAAGTCAACACCGAAGTGGACCAACGGGTGGACAGAACCAGCAGACAGACGCGAGACGGCCAACAACACACGAGCAATAATATAAGAAATATTCTTAAGAAAATAACCGAATCAAAAATACTCTTAAAAATAATATTTTAGGTCGAAATTATTGGACTTTTTATAGATTGGTTTAAATAAATATCACAAATTAGCAAATATCTTAAAAAAAGAAGCGATCAAGTCCGTTACTAGGCGCCAAGCTAAGCCCAGCAAAGCTCCAAGGGGAAAGCTCTTCCCCCACGATGGGGGGAGCTTCTGCCCATATTGCCCGTACTCTCTTTCGGGAGAGAATCAAATGGAAACCGAATGAGCGAACGAAACGAAGCAGCAATAACAAAACGCAATCCAGCAACTTGCTATATTGGAGCGGTTGCTGCTGCTGCTGCTGCTGTTTCGGGGGCGGGCTATATACATATGCGAGGGGCAGAGTGGGCGGGGTGTGGCCTAGGGGCAGGGTCGGTGCAAAACGTGGGGCTGCTGCCGATTTCTACGGCTGATGCAACAACACACATCTGTATGCATTATAGATATATGTATGTATGTATGTATATGGCTGTTAGAGCGTACATATATTAAATGGTCGCAGCAGAAGCGGCAGCGCAAATCAAAGCCAGTTGACACACACACAATGGCATACTAACACCAATACTGGCTTATCAAGCGCAACGCAATAACATTGAGCTAGCAGTGGGCACAGTGGGTCATTAAATTAGTTACTAATAATGGTGTTTGATATGAAATATTTTATATTTCTAAAAAGATACTTATATAAATTAATATGTATATAAAGCTAACATTTATTTATTAATACTGTTAGTTAATCAATTTTATACACTTTTTTAAAACCATTTAAAAAAAAAAAAATTTATTAAAGGAAAAAAAAAAGTTTTAAACAGGGCTGCCTACATAAAGGAAATATCACGTATACGACACGTATGCCCCAGCTATCTGTACAGTTCTTAACAGTTCTTAATAAAACCAAATGTTTAAAACAATTTTGTATACATCTTAATTTCACTTATACTTACACATTACTTACAACAATATTTTCTTTAAAAAGTCTTTCCTACTTGCTTTAAATTACTTGCTGAAAAAAATAACCTTACGTCCTGTATTCCCTATTGACAGCTTTTAATATTTTTATATTTATATTACATTTTATATTACACACTTTTATATGTAAATCGCCTTAAAAACACTATCAAAACTAACAAAAAGCAAAAAATAGTACTTTAAAAAAATATTGCCTACATTTCGGGGCCGTTGCATAACATATTACTCATACGACCTGTTAGCCCTATTTGTCAGCTTTAAATATTTTTAGTTTACATTTTACACTTATTTATGTGAAATCTTTTAAGAACACTAACAAACCTAATAAAAATTAAAAAAATAATATTTTCAAAAAATGTAGCCTACATTTCGGAGCCCGTACATAACATATTACTCATACGACAGGTAAGCCGAAACTGTTGGCTTCAAAAATGTAGAACTTTTGTTATTTGCAGTTTTCTTTGAATTGTTTTTTATATGATTAAATTTAAAAAAATATTGTAAATAATTTGATTTGTTCAATCCCTAAGCACGTGTTGGAAATTACGTATACGCCACCTAAGCCAATTACATAATCACTCTTGTTATCTACTTTCTTATTGAATATTTAATAAAAAAATGATGTTCTGAGGAAGATAAAAGTTCATTGTGGTCTTGGGAGAACAAATGATTAAGAAAAGGTTCGTATTCGTGATAAGAAAATTAAGTATACGACCCATATGACAATTACATAAGCACTACTTTTTTTTAAGCTTCATTTTAATAGCTTGCACTAAACATAACCTAGAAAAACAGCTTCTAATTCCAATTACGGCCCACTGTGCGCCACCAGTTGCGCCGCTGCTGCTGCTGACGAACCGCTAGACAGCGGCGACAGCGACAGCAGCGCGTGTGCTGCCTGCTGCCGCAAAACAAGTCAAACCACTCACACTCACACTCACACTCTAGCAGCCGCGCATGCAAAGCTCCACGAAAATGAGAAGCAAAAGAAAACAAAGACAACAACAATAACAAGAGACTGTCGCATGCAAAATACATATGTATGAAAAGTCAAAAAATGGGCGGTTTAGGCCTCATGGTCTTACCACAGCCGCTGAGGAGGATTCGGGCCGAGTACCAGCTCCAGCTGCCTCCTCGAGATCGCCCGCCTCCAGGTCCATATCACCATCGACGTCGGCGGGGTCCGTTTCCCGCTCCCGGTCCCTGGCATTGGCGGCTGCAGCGGCAGCTGCCACAGCGGCCACTGTGGCGGCAAAGCGGGCGGCCAGCTCCTCGTGCTGCTGGTCCATAGAGTCCCGCCCCCGGTCTATGATTACTTTCTGCTGCCCGTCCACCTTCAGTTGCTCCAGATCCAGGCTGTGCATCAGGGCCAGCTTCTCGTCGGGCTCCGTTTCCTGGTCGTTGTCCCGGTCAGGGGTCACCTGATCGCGCTCCCCATCCAGAATGAATCGTATCGCCTCGTAGGCGAACCACATGGGCTGGTAGTGGACGCCGCGGCTGCGCCCGCTGAGGACTTTGCCGTGCTCGCGGTGGAAGGAGCTGCGCAGCGACTTGATCTTGGAGCGGATGGAGCGGATCTCCGTGCCGTACTTGGAGCTGAGGAGCTTGAGGGCCTCGTACTTGGTCTGCTTAATGTGGTAGCCCTTGGTGTTGGGATCCCAGAGCACGCGCTGCCGGCGATAGTCCTCGATGAAGCTAAGGATCGTCGAGCGGGACCATTCGATGCGATCCGCTGGCGTTGCTGCTGCATTTGGTGGGGACGACGTCGGCAGCGGCAGGGGCAGCGCTGTAGCAGAGGCAACATCTGAGGCAATCAACGCTATGGCATTGGAGTTGGCATCGAGCTTGAACTGCGCTGCGGCTGCGCTGCTGGACATGCTGGTGAAAGTTTCCCGAAATGGGGGGGGAGGAAGGTGGTGGTGCGTTTTGTGGGTGGTGCTGGTGCTGGCGGTGGCGGTGTCGGTGGTGGTGGTAGGAGGAAGAGAGAGAGAGGGAGGCCGCAGGCTGAAAAGCGAACGCAACGCAACGGCAACGCGACGAAAAAAGCGTCCACAACACGTTGCTTTTGACTTTCGACTGGCGGTTGGCGGCAGAGGCGAGCGTTGGGTTGTGGCAGCAGCGGCAAGTGTGACGGCGGCGGCAGCGGCGGCGGCCAGCTCAGCTGCACTTTGTGCGAGAGAGAGGGAGTGAGAGCGCCAGTGCGCTATACCGAGCTACGTAGCTTCGTCCAAAATCAACGTAAAGGTGTGCGGCTCGCTCCCTCTCTCACACCCGCTCTTCTCTTTCTGTTTTTTTTTTTTTTTTGTTTGTTTCGATGGTGTGAGTGCTGCAGCAGGCGGGCTTTTATTTCTGTTTTTTTTTGCTTTTTGCGCGACCTGTTGTTGCTTGTCTGATAATGGCAGCCTTTGTTGTTGTTGCTGGTGGTGGTGGTGGTGGTGTTGCTGCTGCTGCCGCTGGTGGTGGTGCTGGCGTTTCTATTTGCTATCAGTTGTTTTTATTGCATGTTGTTGTTGGAGTGTTGTTGAAATTATTGTTATTGTTATTCTTGCTGTTTTGTGGTTAATGGTGTAGTTGTTGTTGTTGTTGTAATTGCTTGTGGTATGGTTTTTCAATGTTGCTTCTGCTTCTCCTCTTGTTGTTGTTGTTGGTTGGTTGGTGGAGTTGCTCTTGAAGTGATTGCAACTGTTGTTGTTGTTGTTATTATTATTGGTATTATGGCTACTACTAGATCTAGTGTTGCTGTTGCTGCTGCGGATGGTGTTGCTGCTGCTGCTGCTGCTGCTCCGTCGTGGTGTTTTTTTTTTTGTCGCCACTTCGTCGACGCTCGTTCGTCGCTCGTCGTTCGCTGTTGAAATCACGATTTGTACTAATTTCACATATTTAAACTGTGTGTGGCATGCGCGCTGCTCCAAACGGGCCGGTTGCTTCTGTTGTTGTTCTTGTTGTTGTTGCTGCTGCTGTTGGCCGTAAGTTCGTCACTTGCTTCTGCTCCCCCGCTACCACTAAGCAGCACACCTTTTTCGATTTGCTCGTGTCGCGACTTGGCGATCGTTGCTGTTGCTGCTGGTGCTGCTGCCGCTGTTGCTGTCGTCAACAGCCACACGTTGCACAGTGGGGCCGATCGGTGTGCGCATGTGGCAACGGCTGCCAACATCATCGGCGGCCATGAGAGATGCTGGAGGCACACAACCAACCTCACACACCAACAACATCTGGGCACAGTCTATTTATAAATGGCAACGGTACAGTGTGGCAGTTGCAGTTGGCATGTTGCAAGTAGGGGTTTATGAATAAATAATTATTATAACTAAATGAGGTCTTTATTTTAACAAATTTTTAAAATTAAAGATTAATTTTAATTAAAATACTTCTTAACACTTGTGGCTCTCGTATCGCCCCACACCTGACCCTTATCACTCGCCCCACTGTGCTTTGGCAGCTAAAGCTGTAAATATTGTTGCCGCTGTCGCTGCCTGGTCCTCTCATTCTTCCGCCCCTCCCCACCGCTCTACACCGCCCACAAGCTCTCGCACTTCTCTCATCAGCACGGCTGAGAAGTTGTTATCGTTGCCACTGTAGTTGTTGTTGCTGCTGGTGCTGTTGTTGGACAAAGCAAAAAAAAAAAAAAATACAAAATAATAAACCAAAAACAAATACAAAAAAAGCTCAAAAACACGGTAACAAATTTAGCGAATCAGCAAAATAACAGAAAAAGAATCGAAAAAGGAATTGCATTTCACGGCGAATTTGGACGCTTTTGGGTATATGCCTTGTTGTTGTTGTTATTTTTTATTCGAAATACCCTAATATAGTGCATTCGGAATTCTCATTGAAGATCGCAATGCCAAACATTAAAATGCACTAACCCATTAATGGTTGAAACCAAATCGGTAGTGGTAATAGAAAAAGATTCTAAAATTTCTTAGATTTTTTTTCCGAAAGAGTACTTAAAAGTTCGACCTTTATTTTGCCTATGAGTGACAGGGCCAAGAGTACGGAGAGTGTGTGGTAGGGTAAGGTATAGAGTGCTGTTTCTCACGTAGGCAGAATTTTGTTTTCTTAACCTCCTCCTGTCACCTTAACATTTTGTCTTTTTTTTGAGTGCATCTTTATTTATGTCATAGTGGGATATTGCGTGTCCTAAGCCACGTGCGAATAAAGGTAAAAAATTCTCCGAATTTCGATGTCACACTTTTAACACTCAGAAGTGTAAAAATTGCACACAGACACACACACATACACTGATAATTGGAGCGCCTTGTAGCGGACTTCTCTTCTTATCACTTTTGCATTTCCCCCTTGCACAATCGCTCCATCTCTGTCTGTCACCTGTGCCCGAGCTCCCCCTGCGCCCGCTCTCTCTCCAGCGCGCCACAGCTGTTTTGCATTGCGGAAGCTTTCGCTTCTTCGACTTGTGCTTCTTCTTTTTTAGTGCCCACCTTAACGGCTCATTATCAGGCTGTGTCGCTGTCGCAGTTGGCGTCGCAGGCGACGTCGACCGTGGCAGCGACGTGTTTGCCGCACCTACGATAACGGGCAATAAGCTGACATTTTCATGCACCTCGTGGGGTGATCGGCTTGGAGGACATACAGTTGCACCCTACATACATACATAAGTTGGGGGCAGTGTTGGAAAAGTTTAAAAATAATGTAAATGAAAATATATAGTTGCTCAGCACTGGATTTTATTCAGTTTTTAATTAAATTAATCCGATTTCCTTGGCCCATGGACGTGCTTTTAATTGCCTATTTTAATAGCGTGTGCTAGCACCCAATTACACCAATTGCAGCGTGACTATAAAGCATTATAAACCGCCCAAAAATTGACGTCGACTGCGTCAGGGCAAACGACTCTCAACGTCAGCGATGTGGCGCGCAAAGCTTTTTGCATTCAATTCTCGCTCCAGGTTGACAAATTGACGTTCAAAGTTGTTTGCGCAGCATTTCAGTTGCAGTTTCGGTTACGTTGCTAAGACCCCACGTCCCACTGTCCCCACGTCTAACCGTAATGCCCACTCTTTTTGGCCAACACTCTCCGTTATCCATCCTCGTTGCTCTCCCATTCAGGTTCCTTATTACGTTATGATTCTCCACGGCACTCTCTCCTTCTCGCTGCTAACTTAAAATTTAAGTGCGATTGAGTGGACGATAGATTACAGTGGTATAGGAAAGTTTAAAACGGGAGAATTATATTAAAAATTAAAAATAAATAAACAAATAAATATGTTTTTTTGAAAAATGTATAATACTGACTAATAATATTATTTTTATAATAATATTTTTTTCTTTTTGTATCTCAACTTGTTAGCATCACTGTTCGCCTAGGAAATATATAAATTGCATTTTCTGTTCCTGTTGCTGTTGTCGTTATTGTTGTTGTTGCCATTTCAGTTTGTCATTGCCATCTAAAATGCATTGAGCTGTCACATTAGAGCAGCAACTCGATACGTTAGTTCCCCAACACCCGTACTATGACCACCCTTGCCACCCTCTCCTTCATTACAGGAGCTCAGCATTTTACTTACTGGTTTTTTTTTATTATACTCTACTTTTTCTTCTTCTTATTTTTATCAATCAACTTTGAAGGTGTTACTGCAGTGGAAGTTGGTTGATGTTGCTGGTGAGACTGATATTATTGCTGCTATAAGTGTTGGTGTTGGTGTAAGTGTTGATGTTGCAGCTACCGTTGCGTGCACTTTGGTGAAAATGGCTGTTGACGTTGGCTATATGGAATACTTATAAGTAAAAATACATATTTTTATTCAATTTCCAACATCACGCCGGGACGTCGCCACTTTGCCATTGTCTTTTGTTATTTTTGCAATTGCCCTGGCAGTGATCCACCCACCTCCCCATTACCTCAAGTCCCCCTCCACTCCCCACTAACCCTCTGTGTTTGTTGTTTATCTGATGATGTTTTTGCTCCCCACTTTTTTTTTTTTTTCAATTATGCAGTGCACAATGGTTTTCCTTCCATTTTTTTGCAACTCTCCCCCGGGGGCAACTGTGCAACTGCTTGAATGCTCGACTGTTTAGCCTGTCGGATTAGCCACGCAGCTGTCGCCGCAGTGGAAAAGCATTTCCCTATTTCCTTGTGGCTCTGCTCCAGTCGCTGTCTCTCCTTTTCCGCCAGTTGCCTTCTAACTGCAGTGGGTTGTTGCCTTTTTTTCGCCAAGCTTAGAAATGAGGTTTAAAACTAAGACTGCACAGAGGAAAATACAATTTTTTTAAGGAAAAATATTCTAGTTTTACTATATTATTTATGTATATTTTATTTAATTAATTTTAAAGCCAAACTTATGTCTAAAACATTTTTAATCTTAAGCAGATTTAAGCAGATAACTACTACTTAATGATATGCTAAGCTTTATTATTTTCTCCATTTGCCGTCATAAGCCTGCTCCTGAGCGTTTATTTATGTATTTAGCCATTTGCAGTTGCTTGAGTTTTGCCACTGATGCGTATCTGATGGATACCCGGTCCAGTCCAGTCGCAGTCGTAGTCCGGTTGGACGGGGCTTAGGTGCTAACGGGAAGTCGCCTCGCCGTTGAGTGAGCGGCCAAAGGAAGTGTATTTGAATGAATGCACATCTGATAAAGCCTAATACCCATGGACAGGCTAGTACTCACTCGAGTGGTCGGCACTTGGGATCCGTTTAATTAGCTTTTTGCAAAGACTGTCGGCCAAAACGCCAACGCCAATGCCAACTTTGTTTGTTCATTGAAGAGTTAAGAGGTGGCTCTACCTATGTATGATCAAGACCTTTATCTACAAAACATTTTAATTAAATAAAAAAAAAATCAATAGTCTAGTATTATGTTACATATTCTAGGCAAATCCCGAACCCTAATTACGAAATCCCTTCCTTATCCTTAGTAGGTTGCTTAAGGAATCCATCCGTACCCTTGGGCGGTTATAGCAGAAAAGAATATACTTGCAGATACACGTCCACCTCCGACGTCCTTCGTCCTTCGTCCTTGGTATTTTCGTTTACCCGTTTGCTGGTCCTGGAAAGTTTCGGGCATTCATTTAATTAGAATCCAAATCATTTGATAGGTACAAAGCCCTTAGTCATAGTGGCTCCTGTCCCCTGGAGACTATTCTATTGACATTGTTCGCAAAGTTTCGGCTTTTTCGGAGAGCTATGGGTTGGGAGGGTATGGTGTGGCGGAGGATGGGTTCGAGTTGTTTTG